TTGTTCAAAAACAACTCCCACTACAGTAAGTAACGGATCTTGAGCCTGGCCACGTACGTAAGTATTTATCATTTCAGTCTCATTAGTAAAACCAATGATGTCTATATAAAAACAGAAAAAGTATAATTATATTAGTCATTTAAATTATTAAAAAAAAAAACACTATTTATGTTTCTCAATTTCATACTTACTGTGAGGCAGGAGACTATCAAGACATTTTCTGACGGAAAGCATAATCTTGTCTGTATGTGCATTTTTTGGCACATAATACACTTGATGTATACTATTATAAATTTTCCGCATTAAATCCTGTTGTGTTTGTACCGGATAAAGTGTGCTAACGTTCACCTTCTTTGGCGACTGAACGCTGAAATCTCTCCCAGCTTGCAGTAACGCAAATAATGCAATGGGTACTAAAGCTTGTAAGAATATTGTCATACGCCAATGTCTTTTGCGTACTATCAAATTTTTGTACATCAGCAAGCCAAAAATTTTCCACCTGCTAGCCATTTTTACTTCAATTCAAGGTAGAAAATACGTTCAACAATTTATGTATTAATTTCTGTGTCGCTTAGCGAGCTGTATTCAAATGGCTATCAATATATACTGTATATACTACTTTGCCATTGAAAGTACACAAAGTGTAAGTGTCTCGTGAATAAGTTATTAGAATTGACGTATATGTTGGTAAGGTATCGCATAAATAAGCTGTATGGCCTTGGTCATCAAAATCCAGAAATCCATCTATAAGTCAGCATATTTTCCGATATCACATAAAAAATATGCCATTTATGGTTTCTTCCATGTATATAAAGTCCCCCTGCCTAGTCACCGTTGTCGTAGCAAATTTTACCTAAACAAACATAATTATCAGAAAGCGTAATGGTGAATCATACAGAGTTCATGTAATATTCAAAAAGTCATATATTCACAACTTCAACAATTGCCAATACTTTAATTTAATTGTAATTCAACTGAAATAATCATCAACAATATAAAACAAAGATCAACTAGTATCTCTTTAAACTACATAAGATCAAATATAATTTGAAGGGTGCATAATTGAATACCGAATTGTGTGAAAAAACTGTCCAAAGAATTTCTAGAATACATGAAAAATTTAGGTATTTATTACGATCGATAAGAACACACAGCCCATGTACCTTAACCTTCTGTTTCAAAACGTCATTCACATTGTTGGTAAGTTTAAAAAGAATACTGCATATTTACATGCAATTTCGCAGTGTGTTTATTTGAGCATGAACGGAAATACGCGTCAAGCCCGGAGTTATATATTCAGTTTATTAATATTCAATACTTACTTGCGTATGCCAACTGCTCGCTGCCAGACGTGGTGTAGAAGTGGCTTTGCAATTTAGATAGCACATCGGAACAGACACACGTTCGTTTGTTGTGCCGCCTAATTTCCACGTTCTTATCGTTCGGAATGCAGAAAAACGAAGAAAAACGTTTATAAGTGCATGCGAAGCTATTACGATACGGGGGCAACAATTATTCGACAACTGTGTTAACGCAAGGAAATACTCACGTGCCGAGAGCTGTCACATGTCACGAATGCTATTTTTCGAAAACGCATTCAACAGCGAGATTGTTATTTGTCTCATGAGGCTTCATCTTATCGCATTATCAAAGGCGATAACGTTTCTGCATACGCGATATTATACGGAGACACTTAATTCAACGCGTCACGCCAGATCGATATAGCATTTCTCGCATTTCCGAACGCGATGACAACACACAAGTTCACAACAAGACACTTGGCGTCTCCGCGTCTGCGGGCGGGACTGTTGGGGACTGTGCGAGACTGCTGTCAAAAATGCGGGTGCGTGATAACATGTTATATAGAGAGGAAACTATATACGTATAAACGTGACGTCATCATGGCTTCTACCCTACCTGTACATATGTTACGTGATTGTATGTGAACGCCACTCGCAACAGTGACGCCCAGCGAGAGGAATTCACCTTGTGGATAAATTATATCTTTTTAGAATTATAGTACAATAATTATAGTTAATTTGATTGCTCAAAAGATAAAAGATTTTATGGGTGGTTCATATATAGATCGAGTTGTGTGAAAATCCCTGATCAAAATAATACTTAATTGTTGGGCACTTAATTTCCACAACATGAGAAATCTAGATCAGTTATACGATGAAATTATCCTTCTCTGTGCTATAGTCCTTTAAGGCTATTTCCTTTTTTTTTTGTTAGCCGTCACCGGATATATGATAGCTCATGCTATTACTACACAGTTTTTCTAGACAGTATGACTCACAAATTATCTCTCCCTATACTAAAAGCGATAGATAAAAATTTTAAAGGCTTTTGTGGAGGAAATTATCAGCACTATTTTGTGTCATTTCGTCTTTTATCGTTTAATTAGACGTAAAACGAGGACAGGATGATATACGTCATACGTAATAATAGTACTGATAGCGCCCCACTCCACCGAATGCCGCCTAAAAGAGCGACGTGTGATTACGTTACTGGCGGAGAAGTGCTACCCTCGAAGTTATATTATAGCTGAAATTCTTACGTCACTTTTCGATTTAAACTTCTCAGAAACTTAATAAAGTTATTAATATCTAACAGCACTCCTTTGGTATAATATAATATAGATATACTTCTGTAATAAATTTTCTAACTGTAGATTTCATAAACTTCCTTTACGATACCGCAAGAAGAATTATTTCATTTATATAGCATTTATCGATAATAATATACAATATATGCGATCAAATATAGTGAATTATTTTCGATTCGACAGAGAGAAACCTGAGAGAGGACGGCCTTTTTTCTGTCATCGCAAAATATACATCCGTATTTTCGTACGCGCAATTTTTCGAGAATAAAGCCCCAGCAGTCTCGAAAAGTGGATGTAGCACGGATACACATCATAAATTGTATATCCGTGGTGCAATAAAATGGAAGTTGTTATGTAATTTACATCCACTTCTTCAGGCGGCGTTAGTGCGCGAGCGGCGGTAACAGCAAAAAGTCATGTCCTCCCTGAAGTCTCAGGTTTCTCTTTACTTTCGATTTTATTTTGAATCGATAATTTTTGAACAAGGATATCTTTTAAATTTATTATGTACAATGTTCTCCGTTTATTTATAATTAATTAATGTTAAAAAATAAAGACTAATAAAATAATCTTTATAAAAAAGTAGTCAATGTTACTGATTGAGTGACTATAATGTCAATAATTAAAGTGTTTGATCCCCTATACTTTATAACGTACTCTATATATTAACTTAATACTAACTGCAGTACTAAATATTAAATCGATATTAAATTAAACTTATATTTATATTGAAACCTGATTTGCTCGTTTATTTTTTGTTTTCAGATACTTTGTTACATACTATATTGATTTCTTTTCGATCTTTATTGTGAATAACATTTTGTCTCCTAAATAATTCAGAAAATACAGTAATGGAAATATGATTCTACAAAAAAGATAATATTTTTCATATACGATCTTTCATTTGTCTCACCAGTGTATCCTACTACGGGTTTGTTGTAGTGTTATGATGATCTACTCGTTTTAACCTTTCTATTAAATTTTGTTATTGTTCATTACCTTCCACAATTGACTTAATTTTAATTATCCGATTCGTTTCTACTAACGTAGAAACGTTCTTACAACATTTAACACCACAAAAGGCAACATATTATTGTGACGCTTCAACTCCTCCTCTTATTTAGGATCTAACAATCTGGAACATCAAATAATACAAAATTGTAGAAGTTATTTAATGTAACAATAACCTTCCATAAATATGCGGATACGATAACATTATTTCGGTATTCCATAATACTCTTCATGGAAGAATTTAAAAGAACAAAAAAAAAACAGATGAAGAAACTATTATTCAAATAAATTTAAATTATAGTGCTTGATACAAAAATTAATGTATGATAGTTATGTTAAGTTAATATATGACACACTTACCACTTATAATACTTGTATTTGAAGCAAGCTTTGTCAAAATATTGAACAACATCTCTGTATTTTTGATCAATTAGTTCGTTGTTTGACAAATATAAGATTTGCGATATCAGTATATATCTGGCTTTAATGGAATATCTGTGGAGTCGGTAGGTAAATTGTACCTTAAAGTCATTATAGAAGCACCAAAAGGATAAGAAGAATTAGCTGAAAACGTTAATAACACAATAATAGAAGAAACTTTTAAATTTTGAAGTTGTGTTACAAAAAAAAATACCAATATAAGATATAACGCAAAATTTGATCTTTGTTTTAGTAAAAGCATTTCAGGAGACATACGTATAATTATCAGTAAGATAGATTCTTTCTTGTATATGTAATTTTCTTGCCCAATAATGCCAACATTGATTGCTTGTATAGCTCATTGCCTGTAATTTTCTGTAATGGTGCTGTAAATAATTCATTAAGATGTTTCCCATTATTTTCTTTCTTCACGATCCTACAAGTAGTAACGTACGAAAATAGTAGATGACTCATCTAAAATTATGAACTAAATATTTATTTCGATAGATCGATATAATAATCATATAATGCATCATTTATATTATATTTCTATTTTCGAGCTTACACTAGCATCGCCAATAAGAGCCATTTCGAGGCACAGTCTTCTTTGTTGACCACCAGAAAGTTTGCTAGGTAGAAAATCATTCTTCTCAGAAAGCTTCAATTTCAGCAAGCAAAATACGAATATCCTCCTTGACTCGGTCTCTGGTTTTATTTTCAGCTTTCAACTGCCATAACATAAAAATTATACAGACAGTTAATATATTATTCACTGCTTTTATCTCACAAAAATCATTGTTATTATCCTTGATCACTAATTGTAAGCCAAAAAATTCTATTTGTTCAAATACATTCAAATCTGTGAAAATCATATTATTCACATTCTTTAATTTAAAAACAAAAATTATTTCTAATACTGTTCAAGTTCTTATATTTTTGTCATTTATAAAGACTTTTACCTTCTGCTTCATTTCTCACGCTTATTGAATATAAATACAATAAGTATTTCCTATAAAATAACATTTTTATTTTCATTAAAATCTCAAAGTACAATACCTGTTAATATAGATATAAGCGTAATTTAATCTGTCCTATTGTGTCCAAGCAGAGCAGTAATTTGCTCTTTGTAAAAATCTATAGAAATTCCTTTTAGAGCATGGAATTTCTAGATTATAATAACGTGACAATATTTAAATACATACATAGTAAAAATTTAATATTTATACCTTTTATGTCAACTTATAGATTTTTGTATAACTTTTTAAAATTAAGTATTTGTTCCGTATGTAAATATAATAAATCGTCTAATACCGGTTCTAAGTCTTCGTTAGCCTTATCATAATCAAATTGACCAACTTTTTCATCTAGAGCTATTTTATTCTTCTTTCATACACTCACAAAATATGATAAAAACATATCTCACAATATAACGTTTTTCTTTAATACTATTTATGATTCTTATCCTCCAAATAGAATAATGGATTCTTTTGAACTCTATATTTTCCAGGAAATACAGCATTTATATATATTGCAAGTGTAAAACATTCAAGATTGAAAAAAGAAATATAAAGAGACTTCTTATAATATCATATTCTATTTTCCGAGAATTAAAAAAATTACTCCACTGAGTGCCAATCACTAAAAGAAAAAAAAGACAATATTATTCACACATACATAACACAAACACACACAACACCCACGAATTCATACATTGACATATATATACAGGATGTCTCAGACCACCCACGCTACCCATTTAAAAACAAGGGAAGTGGATTTATTTAAAAAATCTCAAAAATTTTTCCAACTAAATTGGGTATGTTCTATCAAATGGTAATATTTTCAACTTCTGGTTTCGAACGGAAATGGAGTATTCAGATGTCAATTTTTTAAAATGGAACATGATATTTTTTTATGGCTCTGAATAGCCCATTTATGTTCGGAACCGGAAGTTGAAGATATCATTCGATAGAACATAACCGATTTTAAACTTACTTATCAAAATTTTTGAGATTTTTGATAAAAACCACTTCCCTCGTTTTTAAATGAGTGGGTACTCTGAAATATCCTATATATGAGCAGACACACAAATGCAAAGTTGTGTAGGCAAATGTACAAATGAAATTTCTTAAATCTGACATTCAAATGCTTTCAATTAAAAAAATGAGATATAAAGTTGATGTTTTGTTAAATGAAAATTGTTATCAGAAATTCAAAAATTACAACATATATAAATCTAGCAAATAAATTAATAACTTAATTTTCTCTAAAAGATTCTTTGTACTATACAACAAATAAAAAAATTCGAAATAGTACTTGTATTTCAATAAAGTACATATCGGAGACGTGCGATTTGTGCGTGCCAGGTATAAGCTTTTCACTTTTTACTGTTTAAAAAGAAATTCCAATAATCTCGTATAAAAATTATTATTTGTTAGCTCCGCGTTGACAATCGCAATTCATGTAAACAAGTATAGTAAAAATTAAAAATGGAAATAATAAACATCGCGCGTAAAGCACGCATCAGTGTGATATAAAAGTATGAAATGTTTAAAAGGAAAGTGCTATAAATGGAAAAAGACTAGAATCATTGAAATTTGGAAGGAATTTCAAGAATGGGAACGTACCTGTGGCGCTAATACCATTGTTCCTTACGAGCATGTTTATAAAATTCTATCGTATATGCGCAGTTGCATCAACATTCTTCTTATAATCTGTTGTATGTAATGGAATTGTTTGTGATTTGTTTTGTTGTCTGGCTATCTTTTCCAGTCTCTTTTGCTTTCTTTTAGCTCTTTTTATTCTAACAATTTGATCGTATAGTTTCTTAGCTTTAAGACTTAATGAAATTTTTCGTTTAATATCTTCAAGATGAAGTCTTACATTTCGTGGTTTACTTTGCATTTCCAATGCTTTCTCAATATTTTCGATTCTTTGTTGTTGTTGTGTTATTATTTCTTGCATTTGTTGCAATTGTAATTGTAATTCATGTTGGGTCAATATATTTTCATTATTTTGTAGCACTGTGTAGCGTTGCTGTGCAGCATTGCCACTGTGTTCATGCAACGTCTCTTGTTCCTCATGTTGTTCTTCATATTGTTCCTCATGTTGTTCCTCATATTGTTCTTCACGTTGTTCTGTACGGCTATTGCAATTGACATTATCAACTAATTCCGCCACATGTTGCGGCACATTTACAGATGGAAATGCAAAGTGTAGTAATACTCTATTTTTAAGAGAACCACTATAATCCTCCTCACGAAAATGCCTATAGCATACTCTCAACTTTTTTATTTCATTTTCGTCCTCCAATGGTTCCATATGCAAAGCTTGAAACCATTTTTTTCGGCGTTCGGCATTCTTTGGAAAAGTATGACGTGGAGCGTGTTTACCCGAAGAACATCCGGAGACACAACAAGTTCGCATTTTCTTCAATTCGTACGTAAATAACCAATTTTATGATTATTCGATGCAACTTGCACGTATTTTGTTTACGGCGATTATATGTACAAAAAATGCTCTGATATACAGATTCGCACATGAAATTCTTATCCGTTTGATTTTGGAAGGTTATCCTGCAAATAAAGATCATTGAGATTATCCAGTGTTATAAATTGTTGCACGGCAATAATGTAACTGAGCATAACTGTAGCGATTATAGAATGCTTAAAAGCGAAACGAATATAACGCCAATAATGTGGCCAAATGTGAGTAGCAGACCTAATCGAAACAATATGCATCTACAATATTGACAGCTTGTTAGTGTATTATACTATTATCAGACAGAAATTAACTCAGCAAAAAGCAGATAAAAATCACTTAATTACCTTGTCAGTAAGAGAGTTAGTCAAAAGAGAATGTCAATATTCCATAAGCCATTTAGTATTTGACGTGTCTGAATGTGCAAATGTAGAAAGGATTCTTGAAAGGAAGATTTAGCAAATTGCAACGGATGGCCGAGCAATAGTATACCGTGTTTACAATGCGCTTGTCACAGCGATAAGACCTGCAGCCAGAATTGCAGGACAATTAGCTGAGTGACCAATTCAGTGCCAGTCTAATCCGTTACAATCTTGACAGCTTCGTAATCGTGCTCACTGAAAAAATAATATAAACGCATATATAATGTAATTATGTACATAATTATTATTTATAAAGCAGAAGTATTAAATAGAGCACTAAATATAAGGTTAAAACATTTACCCTTTCAGAATCTTCTACCGCAATTAAGCTATTAAAGGAAAAAATCTATAGCAACTTGCAACGGATGGCTGAGCCGTGTTTACGATGCGCCCATGGTATAAGGACATGGTAACAATGACGTAAGCTTTTTAACAATTTTGATTGGCCACTCGGTATCAGCATACGCTCGAAAATACCAGACGAGCATATCCTTGTCCTTATACAGTCGAACCTCAATAACTCGAACCTCTACAACTCGAAAACCTCTATAAAACAAAAATTTTGTTCATTTCGTTTCGCTCCGCTGCGGAAAACCTCTATAAATCGAAATAAAACCTACTTTAACTTAAAATATTTGTCAGGCATTTAAATATATATTTTACTTCTGTAACTCGAATTTAAAGTAGCCAGACCTCTACAAGTCGAAGTTCACCTCTATAAGTCGAACTTTCAGTCGCTACCTCTATAATTCGAAGTTGTAGCTATGTGTAACCCTGAGTAATAACTAGCCTGGTTTTTTGTTTTATGGTCACATTTATCATATGTGTGCAATAAATAATTCACTGTTAAATATTGATTTCTTTTCCTCTAAAAGCCATTATACTCGGAAAATTATAAACTCTCGTACATATGTACAAAGCCTCCGTAGATCGAATTTTCATGCAGTCGAATCTCGATAATTCGAATCTCATTTGACCAGAAAAATTGTTTGAGTTATAGTTTTCGACTTATCAAAATTCGAGTACAAGAGGGTTAACATAAATGAAAATTTGACTTACAAAGGCTTTGTACGAAAGTTTATAACTTTCCGATTATAATGGTTTTGAGAGGAAAAAAAATCAATATTTAACAGTGAATTATTTATTGCATATACATATGTATAACCATAAAACAAAATGTCAAGTTATTACTCACGGTTACACGTCATAGCTACAACTTTGAATTATAGAAATTATAGCGACAATGAAAATTTGATTTGTAGAGGTCTGGCTAATTTAAATTCGAGTTACAGAGGTAAAATATATATCTAAATGTTTGACAAATAATTCGAGTTAAGGTAGGTTTTATTTCGATTTATAGAGGTTTTCTGTAGTGGAGCGAAAGGGGATGAACAAAATTTTCGTGTTATAGAGGTTTTCGAGTTGTAGAGGTTCGAGTTATCGAGGTTCGACTGTACCACGGATGCGCCTGTCACAGCGTTATTCCCCGGGAGTAATTGAAGAACGATGGCATTATACCATTTTGACTACCGAGGATAATAAATATAATCACTATTTTATTATCGACAGTGAAAAATTTACATTATTTTTAATTTTTTGCAACGTTTGCTGTATAGATACATGTATTTTTTTAATTTTCACAACGTTGCTGTACGTACATACGTGTATATGTAAAAATGTGTATGTGTATATGTGTAATTGAAAAATAAAATATCTGTTTTCCTCGTTCGTTGATAATTATAATACCATTATGTTATGTCGATACTGTTATCACGAGCGATAATTTTAAATATATATATATGTATATATATATATATATATATATATATATACATACACATATTATCTGCAAAAGTATAATATTATTGCTGAACTTTGAGATAATGACATTGTAAAATATGTTTGCACATGACAAATGGTTTTTTCTGATTGATTGAGACTTTTACAAAATATACATATTATATTTTTATCTATTTTTTTAAACTTTAATGAAAGATTTATTAATAATTAATCCTTATTAATAACTCATATAACGCTTTTTGTAATAATATTGTATATACAGGATATCCGGTACTCAATGGTAAAGCGTTTGTAGGCAGTCGAGTGGGCCAAACTGAACAGAAAAGTCCTGTATCATTTTGCGATTTTCGCAATAGTTATCGAGATATTGATTTATAAAGATCACCGAATGTAAACGCGCAACAAAATACGACTGCCCACCGCGGATCGCGGTCGATCATTTAGCGCGTGGCGCGTGGTGGGGGTAATCCATTGCCGCGCACTAGGCCATCAATTAATATCGATAACTATATATTGCTGTATTATGTTTACAAAGTTTGCCATTAATTTAATTTGATTCAATACATAATGACAGAGATATAGGAACAAGTCTAATTGTTATATGAAAAAATTAAAGTTCTAATAAAACAATATTAGTGTTTTTGTTATTTATCAGTATTTGTTCAATATTTCACATCCCCGATAGAAATATTAATTGTGGAAATATTGCATAATAATGTATTATGAATTGATGAAAACTTTTAAATATTATTTTAAATTATTACGAATCATTACATTTACTTATATGTATATTTTGAATTATAATGTACACTTGTCTTTTACGTTTATCTTTGATATTTATATAATATTTATTCATATTCTATATTACATTTATTTAAATTAAGAAAACGCCAATCAATCAAATTCCAAGTTTAATTAATTTCAAAATTAATGTTGCTACATTAAAATAATTAAGAAAGAATGCACAGACTATTATATATTCCCGCTATATTGCATTCGGTAAGGAAAAATAAATACGATTATTTATTATTTATATAAGGAAGAAAATTTACACAGGGGCTGAAAAGATATAACACAATAATCATCTTAATTTCTATACGACGTATGTACATTAAAGTAGAAAAAACCATTTTTGCTTTTGTATTGAATAACTCGATAAGAAAAATTCGCATAATGCTGATCGAGTGTGCAAATTAAAGACAAAGAAAAACGCTTTCAAACGCTGTAAGTCTAATTTGTATTTTTAATTTCACTCTATGGAACTTTGCAAATTTAGTAAAAAATTGTTAGATTTGATGCATCTTTATTTGCATCCGTGCAGCTTCGTAAAGAATTAGTAAGTCATTTAATGAATTATGGATTTCGAAAATAGAGACTTTAAGCAGTAAAATGCTTTTTTGATCATTGTGTTATGATCATTTTTGACGAAGTTGAACTTTCTTGAAATTTGCCTATTTTTAGCGAAAATCAGAATAGGTGATCCTTTAATTTTGGCGCCGAGTGTATAATCAGTTTTAATAATAGTAAACATTATACGTTACTTATTAGATATTAAATTAAAAGTATTAATATTTTATGTCGTAATATTTTTTATTTAATGTATTAAAATGTACATTTAATGACCATTTTAAATACATATGTAAATACTTATATGCGTTATATTTGCGTTGTGATTACATTTTTTATTTATATTTATAATGAATATTTTTGACATTTTTAATATTCAAATATCCGCTTTCAATATATTTGGCTTTATTCTTGTTAAAGCAGATATCTAATTAAATTTAAGGAAGTATGTATTTATATATTGTAATGAATATAAGTTTTTTAAGTACTTTTTTTAAGTATAATTATGTTGTTTTTAAGTATAATTATGTTGTGTAATTTTGTGCATTTTTATTTAATTTATTTTTTTATTTTATGTATACAGTAGATTTTTGTTTAATCGCGATTATATTTATCTTAATCATGCACAGTTTCATATTTATTTCCCCAATTTTTTTAAAAATATCCAACTTTTTGAAGCACAAATATCCAACTTTTTGTTCTTTATTAAAAAATAGTATTAGATATAGTATTAATATATAAAGCTGTACAACAAAGTTAATTAATGTAATTCTGTAATTAATTGTGAAATTTGTAACCTACTTTTATTACGAAATTTTCGATTATCAATTTTATTACGAAATTTATATTTTTGTAACTTATAAGAATAAATTTAAATGTATCTAAATTCTAATTTTCTAATTTTTCTTTATTTCGCGATTTCACTCACCTATATCTCCTTCCCTCATAAGAATTGCACATAATCCAATTCTGAGTTATAGGAAATTGGATATGTTTTATGATCCAAAAACAGGACTGACGATCGCGCTGGTTGGTAAGACCAAATAATTGTGTCCTTTTTAGAACGTTGACTCATCTTCTAAGTGCTTCAATAGCGCCTGACTCGTATCGTGTCTGTCTTCGAGCGTATCTACGAGACAGACTGTTTCGTGCGTTCTTCTGCACCCTTTCCTCTTCAAATCCCTTTTTTTTCCAAATGAGACTCTATCCCTAAATATTTTAAAAATTCCAGGGTTTGGCGTAACAACGGATTAGTTTAGAAAGTTTCAAGTTTAATATTTATTATTACATTTAGTAATTATTATAAACAATTAGATAATATAAATTTAATATTTAATTAAACTTATTTTAATATTATAAAAAAGTAACGACAAAGTAACTCTTACAGCACATAAACATCTCAATAAGATTACAATGACCAGAAACTTAATAATAAATGGCGTTCGTTTCGCAAAAACCGTTTTAAGAATAGACGCATATAAATTTTTCCAATATAATTGTTGAATATATAAAACAAACATAAACCTATTATTAACATGGTTAATGTAAATGTACTTATATTAAAGATTTTATTTCAATATTGGAAAAAAGACGTACCAACAAAACATGTAAAAAAATTTAATTTTATTGAACATTATTCAGCCTATTCAAATACGCAAAGCTTTTTTCGCGTGAGTAATAAAATATCTGTATGAAATTTAAAATTATATCACGATGTAAAAATTGTATGTTATTGTGCAATTTGACTGTCTCTTATACTATTGATACGTATGATAGTTTTTAGGCCATATATTAACCCTCAGCTGGAACACTATCTGTATTTCCCGATTCTGGAGTACCGAATGTGCGACACCTTCAACGTTTTCAATCACGTTTATCTTTGTATGTAATGCATAGAATTTGAACATTTTTTTTTAATTGATACGTCAAATTGTCCGAAAGACAAATAAATGGATGCGTAAATCGAGAAAATATTCGAGATATTCGAGATATTCAGGAGCAAAAAAAAAGAAAATTTTTTAATTTCGGTTTTTTTTTTAATTCGTAGTTTCGAGGGAAATACCGTTAGATTTCTCTAGCGGGTTTTTAGAGATAATTGAACGTACCTTAAGAAAAAAATACTATTATTTCGATTATTTTTAAAAAGTACATTTTGCTCTGAGTGTAGTACACTCATAGACTGACAAATTGCGACTTTGGAGAATTTCCTGTTAACCTTTGGAGACTGCTGTGGTGGGGAATTAGTAGTGGAGGTATAAAACTTTCTTTAGCCCCTACTCGATTCCCCCTTATCTTTACGGCTTATGAATGCTTAGCGCTATTATATAAAGCCTGCAGGATGTACTACACTTAGAGCTCCAGTTGAGGGTTAAGGAGGTTCGATAGCAAAATCAAAATACTTGAATCTGTTTAAAAATTATAT